CCCTGTTCCTGTGTCAGTGTAACTGTGATGGCACTGACAGAGAGCCAATTCCAGGGTTTTTTTTTGGCACAAACACACATTTTTGGTCCTGCAGAACTGGTTTAGAGCCCTCCCGTAGAGGAAAAGGGAATTTTTGGTCTCAGTTCTACACGGAGATGAGAGAAAAGGCCTGGCAGGATCGYTCCACCCTGATGGGAAGAAATTTCCCAGCTCATCCCACAGATAAATTCAGAGAGAAGAGAGAAAAAAACACCCCTGAGACAGCACAGGCTGGTTTGGGGCTCATTTGGTGCCCCAGAACTGCCACCAAGGAGCTGTTTGTGACTATTTGTGACCATTTGTGACAATCAGGGGGGATGGAGCACAATTCCACGTGGTTCTTTCTCTCTCCCAGGGCTGGAAATGCCAGAAGTGCCACTCACCAGGCAGGTCTGCAGGTTCAGGGTCACCAGCTCAGGGCAGTGGGCACCAATGAACTTCAGGGCCTCGTCTTCCAGCTGGAAGGGGAAAAAAAAAAGGGATTGGAATAGGATGGTCCTGCTGAAATTCAGGGATTAAAGCAGCAAAATTCCCTTTGGGGAGGAGGGAAAGGCAGCGCAGGAAYGGGAGCAGCACAGGGACCTCCTCCAAAGGGGTTTACTCAGTGGGGAAAGTTGGGAAAAAGGATTCCAGCAGTAATTTATTCCCTGTCCTTGGGGCTGTTAGAGAACTCCCACACCGGGGGGATTTTGGTGAAAAGTTGGGAAAAAGGATCATTCTCCATCTCCACCTTTATTTATTCCCATCCCACTCCTCGGGGCTGTTAAGAAACTTTCACACCAGGATGATTTTGGTGAAAAGTTGGGAAAAAGGATCATTCTGCATCTCCAGCAGTGATTTATTCTCCGTCCCACTCCTCAGGATTGTTACGGAACTCCCAGACCAGGAGGATTTTAGTGAAAAATTGTGAAAAAAGGATAATTCTGCATCTTCAGCAGTGATTTATTCCTTGTCATCGGGGCTGTTAAGGAACATCCAAACCGGGGGGATTTTGGTGAAAATTTGGGGAAAAAGGATCGTTCTCCATCTCCACTATGATTTGTTCCCTGTCCCACTCCTTGGAATTGTTAAGGAACTCCCACACCAGGGGGATTTTGGTGAAAAACTGGGGAAAAAGGATCATTCTCCATCTCCACCATAATTTATTCCCTGTCCTGCCCCTCATGGCTGTTAAAAAACTCCCACACTGGGAGGATTTTGGAATTTTGGTGAAAAGTTGGGAAAAAGGATAGTTCTGCATCTCCACCATGATTTATTCCCTATCCCACTCCTCAGGTCTGTTAAGGAACTCCCACCCCGGGCAGATTTTGATGAAGGGAACACCCCAAACCCCCACTATCCCATCCCCACACTCCCAGGAGCAGCAGATGATCCCAGCCCTGCCCATTCCCACTTTTCCAGAGCCTTACCTGAGTGCAGCCCTTGAGGGACAGCGCCCGGAGCCCCCCGCAGCCCCGCACCAGTGCCTGGATCCCGTCCTTGGTCACTTGGTCGCACCAGGAGATGATCAGCTGTTCCAGCAGCGGGCATCCCTCGCTGGGGAGGCAGGAAAATATATGGAAATGTTGATTGGCCTCGGGAAAAATCCTGATCTGAGCAGAAATTCCCACTGGTGGGACCCACAGAACCGCGATCTCACAAGGATCAAACCCCGGGTTCTGTAGGGTGGTGCTGGGTTTGATCTTCTCTAAGATCTTGGAAAACCTTTTCCAACCCTAATAACTCCAGAATTCCATGGAAAATCCCTGCAGCTGGCTCTTACCTCAGTGCTTTCAGGGACAGGTTGGTGATGGAGGTGCAGGAAGCCAAATCCAGGTGCCTGAGTTTGGAGCAGAACTTGCTGAGGCTGGTGCAGGTGCTGGAAAAAAAGAGAAATGGAGATGTTCCTGCCATGGATTCATCCTAAATAATGGCTATTCCATGGGATGGGGAGGTTGGGGTGAGGATGGAATGGGGACATGGGAACAGGATCCCAGGAAATGTTGATTGGAGCAATGTGGGATAGGGGAAAGTGTCCCCTAAAGGCTGTGGGAACTGGATCATCTTTAGGGTCCCTGCCATGCCAAATCATTCCATGATTCTCTGACTTCCCACACCCCCAAACTTGGCTTTTTAAAAAAAGAAAAGGAAAAAGAGGAAAAACCATTCTACGATTCCGTGATCTCCCATACCCCCAAACTTGGCTTTTCCTTAAAAAAAAAAAGAGGGAAAAAAAGGCAAAACCATTCCATGATTCCGCGATCTCCCACACCCACAAATTTGGTTTTTCCATTTAAAAAAAAAGGGAAAAAGAGGAAAAACCATTCCATGATTCTGTGGCCTCCTACACTTTAAGGACTTTCCTTAAAGATGGAAAAAAAAGCAAAACCATTCCATGGATTTTGTGACCTCCCACACCCCCGAATTTGTTTTTACCTTAAAAAAAAGGGAAAAAGAGGAAAAACCATTCCATAATTCCCTGACCTCCCACACCCCCAAATTTGGCTTTTCCTTAAAAAAAAAGAGGGAAAAAAAGACAAAACCATTCCATGATTCTGTGATCTCCCACATCCCCAAATTTTTAAGGATTTTCCTTAAAAAAAAAAAGATGGAAAATGAGGGAAAGAAGGGATTCACTCACGCATCCGTGATCTTGGTACAACCATTGAGATTCAACACYTCGATGTTCCTGCAGTTCTGGGCAAAGGTCCTTGGAAAAAGGAAAGGGAAAACATTGGATTTGTCAGGGAATGGAATTTTAATTGTATTTTTGAAAAAAAAAAAGGGTTTTACAGTATTTTGTGAATTGTAGCACAGCAGAGTGAAGTTTCACAAAACAGCGTTGAGAAGGTTAAAGGAGAAAACAGAGGAAATTAGGAATAAAATTAAAAAAGAAAATCAAAAGAATCAGGAAAAAATAAAGGAAAAGGAATCAAGAAAATCAAGAAGAAAATTAGGATGAAAATCAAGAAAAGAATGAAGAAAATCCAGAGGAAAATGCCAGAAAAACCAAAAAAACCCCAAACCCTGAAAAAAAACTAAAGCAAAACAAAACAAAAACAAAAAGAAAAAAGGAAGAATCAAGAAAATCAAGAAAATCAGAACAAAACCAAGAAAACCGAGAAGGAAATCAGGAAGGAAATCAAGAAAGGAGAACAGAATCAAGAAAGAAGAAAAGAATCAAAAAAATCAAGAAGAAAATCAAGAAGAAAGTCAAGAAAAATAAAAGAACCAAGAAAATCATGAAGGAAATCAAGAAATAAGAAAAGAATGAAGAAAGGGATCAATAAAGAAGGAAATAATAAAAAAATCAAGAACATTTGATTAAATGATAAAAATTATTCAATGATTAAAAAGAGTAATAATTAATAAAAGAAGATAATAAAATATAATAAATAATAACAAAATAATGAATATATAAATAATATAATAAAAATAAGATAGAAAATAGCAAGAAATAATAAAAAAATAGATAAATTACATGATAAATTCAATGAGAAATGAATCAGCTCTGTCGTTGCTCCCCAGATTTTGGCACCCTGAGGGTCTCGGATTCCAGAGTGGGGATAAATCATAATTATAWATAAATTATCCCAATTTTCAGCCAYTCCAGGGTAGGATGAAGGTGCAGCTCTACCTTAAGGCGTTGTCCCCCACTCCCTGGCAGCCCCTCAGGCTCAGCTTCCGCAGGAATCCCCCACATCTCTTGGAAATGTTTTCCACCACCCGGCCCTGGGGGAGACAGGAAGAGCCACRTGAGAAACCCAGAGAGGTTCACAAAGTTTTAATAATTTTAATAATTAATTATTATTAATTTGGCAGATGAACAACAGGTTGGAATTGAAGGGAAAAYGGTGCTAAGGAAATCAAAAATGCCACGGGAGTGGTTTGAGGGAAGGGGAATTATTCAGCTTCTGAAGATGGAGAGACAAGAAGCAATCACCTAAAATCAATCAGCTAAAGAATTCTGAGGAATTTTGAGGAATTTCCTCCGGTTTGGAGTTCCTGGACATGGGCACAGACTCCCCAAGGGAGGTGAGAGAAGCTGCACCTCGGATTTCCAACAACACTCAAAGATAAACCCAAATTTCTGATCAGAACAGCCCATGAATTTCACTCCTGCAGGAAAATTTCCACCACCTGTGCTCAAGAGATCCAGAAAAAGGGTTTAAATTCCAAATCTGGATCCAGTGGAAGCCTCCAAAAACCCAACCACAGCCAGGATTGACCTCTCCCCCTGGGAATGAAGGGCAGTRTCAGTACGAGTGCTCAGAAATTCAGAAACTTCCTCTGCACTTTGATTTTTTTGAGTTTTCCGCCCAGAACAGGAGCACCCCTTAGTCCTTGAGGTACAAACTGACATTTGGGACCTCTGTGAGATGAGGATTTTCTTCCAGAATCTCTTTTCCAGTCCAGTAAAAACCCCCAATCAGCCACTAGGCTCAAAAAACCAGAATTCCACCATTGGAGAAAGAACCCTGAGCTCTGGGGACACCACGGGAGCAGCTCCACTGATGCTCAATCTCTTGCAAAAATGCTGGGAAAGCTCTCTGATTTTGCAATTCTTTCAGAAATCCTATGAATTCTGTTTGAATCAGAGGAGCGAAATGTGTTTATGGCAAGAATTTACACGGATTGATGGATTTAACTCGGTGAAAGCAGAGCAGGAATCCCAGCAGGAACTTTGAGGCCAGGCACGAATTTTGCAMAAAAATGAATTCCAGGATTTTGTTTTTGAAGGGGAAACCTGGGCTTAGGCAAGAGGAGTGGTTTGATGTAGAAAAGCATCCAAAAAGCACCCAAAACACCTGGTTTGTGTTCCCAGGCTGTCCCCCCTCCCAGGCTGAGCTGCTCAGTCCCATCTCCTCAGGAACCCCGAGAACTCCAYTTTAAATAAAGAATTCCATGGCTCCAGGATTTTTAGGGCACGTTACGAAGTGAAAGATTCATTATGAAGACCCCAAATCCYCCATTTCCTTCCCCCAGGCCACTCAGACCCTGCTGAGGTGACRGTGCCACCTCCTGCTCCTCATCCCTGTCCAGCTCCTGGACTCTTCAGTGACACAAAGGGATTATTTTAACTTTTTCCTCCAAAATTGGGTGGATTTCCCACAAGGTGAGGACCTTCAGCAGCAGCTGCTTGATGCCTCTGTCTACAACAAATTAAAGCCACATATTCCCCGTTTCTCTCCTCCAATTTGAAGCATTCCCAATCTCCTTCTTCCAATGTGTTTTAAACATGACAAAACATCTTGATAAGAGATTTAATTGGTTTTTTTGAGATTGGGATAAAACCCAATCCCTTTTCCTGCTCAAGGCAATTTGAATTCCCAGTTTCCATCCCCACCAGCGCTGTAGAACCCACATCCCACAGCTTCAGCTGCTCAAAAACTGCATCTTTTAGGGAAAACCTCCCAGAATCACCTTAAATTTCAATTTTTGGTATTAAAGATACAAATATTGCTGGCCACAACTCAACATTCAGTGCTCATGGTCTCATCTGTGCTGTGTTACTTTTGAGTGAAAAGTGGAGTAACTTAAATTCCCTTCCACATATGCAGCAGTTTTGCCCAAAAATGCACCTTTTATACCAAATTCTGTTTTCAAAACAGAYAAAACCACTTTCCTTCCATCACTACCTCAAGGTCTTGATAGGGATGTAGAACTCTGTCCATTTTCAAAAGCTGAATGGATTGCCAGGACTTTTTTAAAAGACTCCCCGAAGCTGAAGAAATGAAATTAATGATTTCTATCTCCAGGGAAGGTAGAGAGGGTTACACTGGGAGTATTAATCCATTCTAGGCTGTAATTACATTTTAACAAGAAAAAATGGGTTGGTATGTCACTTAATTATACCTCAATATCCCTCTGGAAATCAAACAGGTCAATTCGCTGCCAGTTACTGCCATCCAGGGCCAGAACATTCCATGCCTTTATCAGGGGGAAAAAATGTAAATGTGTGGTTAATATGAAAAAAAAAATAAAAAAAAAGTCTAGTCCCAGTTTGTTCCTTTGAGAAACAACATTCTGTCCCAGGTGGGAAAGCAACAGGTAATTCCAGGGAGAAGTGGGACCAGGGGGCCCTCAAAACTCAAAATTCTAATTCCACCTGCCAGGGAAGAGGTGCCCTGGCTGCTCCCACTCCTTTGGGAGGTGCAGAGTGAGCCAGGAGAGCGTTTGGAGCTCGGGCATCTTCACATTCCCAGCTGGAATTTACCCCCCAGCACCTCAGAGGACACCTGGAGGACCCCTGCATTGACCAGGGGTTGATTTTTATTGAAAAATCCCAAATCTCTTGCAGTTCCTRCTCCGAGGGAGAAGCAGGAACTCAGCTTGGTGCTGTATTTAAAGTTTTTRTTACCTCACAGAGGTAAACAAGTGGATCTTGTAATCACCAGGAGCCCGGCGTTGTGCAAGAGCCAGTGCCAAACTAGGGTGGATTTTCCAGCCCCACATCTCCCACATGCACTGAGCTCATCATTCCCGTCACAAAGCACCAGGAATTAGTGCTGAGTTACGACACATTGAGCATGGATTGATTTTTTGGGGGGTTTAAAGCTCGTTGCTGGTATTTMTTGGAAGGTTATTGCCAGGAGAAAAGCAGAGGGCAATGCTCTGGTGGATGTAATTCCATGGGGAATGCTCTGCAGGCTTTCCACACATCCCTGCAGGAATTTCCTGTGCAAACAGGAGCTGGGACAGGCCAGGAGAACACCTTGACATTGGCAAAGAATCCCCAACAGCCTGTTCTGGGCAATGCTTTTCTGCTGCATTTCGGCTGGAAGCTCCTTCCCTCCAGACCTGGGGTGCTCAGTGGCAACTGCAATGCCCAAACACCACACAGCGCATTTGAAAATTATGTTTAACCATAATATTTTTTATTCCAATGGGCTTAGAGTAATGAAATCAGTGCTGGGTGTGGTTTGGAGCCAGGACTGAGGGGTTTGTGCAGAAGGGTGGACACACCACCCCAGCTCCTGTCCTGGATCACCATCCCACCCTTGGTACCAGACACTGGCAGGACAAAGCACCAATAAATYAATAAATCTGGCAGCTCCATAAAAATTCCAGTCCAGCTGGAGGAATTTTCCCAAGAGAATAATCCAAGTTGGATTTCATTGCTTGAAGCCCACCCAGAATAAGATTTCCCTGATTTTATTTCACTGCTTACTCCAACTACATGCAAGTAGAAAAATAAACTTTCGCCAGCTGTTCAGCAGCATCTTTGTGAATCAAAATTCCCATATTTCCATCAAAACCCACTTTGGACTCATCCCAAACTGGGGATTTCAGCAGTGTGAGCTCCCTGTACAAACCAGAATGAGGGGAGAGTTCTGGGTAGAAAGTGAACCCCTTCCCCTTTGTACCTGGGACACTGTAAAATGCTATTCCAGYGTGGAATCCCCCTTCACTGGCACTATGGGAATTTTCCAGGACTTCCAGGGGACACTAAATAACCCCACAAAGCTCCCGGGTCAAACCCACCCTGGTGACGTGCTGGGGAGGGCTGGAAAGAAAGAATTTCACCCAAATTCAACCCCCTGCTAAAAACCAGCAGGAAGGAGGAAGGTTCTTACCCTGGAAACTTGAGCGCAACGACACAGAGTGACCACATCCAGGAAAGAGAAAATTCTGGAACAGAAATAAGAGATACCTTATTGGTTATTGACATTTAAAACAAAGGGGACRTGGAAAACAAAGCAGGGAGGGGGAAAAAAAAAAAGGACTGGGACAGCAAAAGTTCTTTGTGATTTGGCTGAAAGCTGAACTGTGAAAAGAAGTGCAGAGGCAGCAGTTCCCAAATGGAAGCAAAACACAGCTATGGAAGCACTGGGAAACTGAAACCTCACACCTTGGAGTAGTTCCTGACCCTAAATCAGTGATTGCTCCCSAAAATGACCCTTTGCAGGAGCCCCACACTGAGCAGGCCAGGGAGTGCTGACGGAGACGTTGGGCTGGCTGTGATTCCTGACCCTAAATCAGTGATTGCTCTCCCAAATGACCCTTGCAGGAGTTACACACAGAGCAGGGCACAGAGTGCTGATGGAGATGTTGGGCTGGCTGTGACTCCTGACCCCAAATCAACGACTGTTCCCCCAAAATGACCCTTACAGGAGCCCCACACCGAGCAGGCCAGGGAGTGCTGACAGGGACATTGGGATGGCTGTGACTCCTGACCCTAAATCAGTGACTGCTCCCCCAAAATGACCCTTGCAGGAGCCCCACACTGAGGAGGACATGGAGCACTGGCGGGGACGTTGGGATGGCTGTGACTTCTGACCCTAAATCAGTGATTGCTCTCCCAAAATGACCTCTGCAGGAACCCCAAACTGAGCAGGACACAGAGCACTGACAGAGACATTGGGCTGGCTGCGACTCCTGACCCCAAATTAATGACTGTTCCCCCAAAATGACCCTTACAGGAGCCCCACACCGAGCAGGGCACAGAACCCTGACCAGGATGTTGGGATGGCTGTGACTCCACAAGGGAGTGACTCCAACACTGCAACACCTTCAGCAACTGCTCCCAAAAGCAAAGCCACCTGTCATTAACAGCTCCACGKCCCCGTTTCAGGCCTGGATTATTCCTGTTTCCACACCCGTGATTACAGGGCTGGAGCTCCTCTGCTGTGAGGAAACACTGGGAGAGCTGGGATTGTCCAGCCTGGGGAAGAGGAGCTGCAGGGTGATCTCACTGCAGCCTCCCAGCACCTGAAGGGGCTGCAGGGAGATGCAGAGGGACTATTATTATTATTATTATTATTATTATTATTATTATTAATTTCCAAAGGTCTGGAGTGCCAGGACAAGGAGGAATGGGTTAAACTGCCAGAGAGCAAGGCTGAATGGGATATTGGGAAGGAATTCCTCCCTGGGAAGGTGGGGAGTGGCTGAMATTGTTTTCCAGGGAAGCYGTGGCTGCTCCATCCCTGGAAGTGTCCAAGGCCAGGCTTGGAGCACCCTGGGATGGAGAGAGGTGGGAATGGATGGGTTTTAAACCCTTCCAGYCCAACCCATTCCAGGAKTGTGCAGCCTCACAACTGGCAAGGCCAGATGTGCAGGGCCAGGAGGGGCCATAACCCCCTCAATCGTGGATGCAGGAAGCACCAAACCCATGGGAAGATCCCAATCTGCACCAGGACATCAATAATGGATAAAATTCAATGGGATTTCAATGTCGTTTTATGGTTTATGGTTATTCAAACAATTGAGGCCCAAAATAGATGAGGTCAAGCAGRGGGTGGGAGGATACCAAGGTCTCATTCCCTTTGGGAACAATTATAAAACTGTAATTATTRCAAAGATAATGCAAGAGTTTGGCCACAATACGCTTTGTGTAAATATAAAAATATTAAAAATATTTTATAATATAAAAAAATTTATAATAGTAAAAATATTCTATAATATTTTAAATATGTAATAATATTTTAAAATATAATATTAAATATTCAATAACATTAAAATATTTAATAATATTTAAAATATCTCATGATATTTTAAATAGCTAATAATATTTTAAAAATCTAATATTAAAATATTCCATAATATTAAGAATATTAAATAATATTAAAAATATTTAATAATACTTCAAATATTTGATAATATTAAAAGATCTAATAATATTAAAATATTCAGTAATATTAAAATATTCCATAATATTAAAAATATTTAATAATATTTTGAAAACCTAATGATATTAAAATAGTCAATAATATTAAAATAGTCAACAATATTAAAATATTTAATAATATTAAAATACAAAAATATTTTAATTTAATATTTGAAACTTGAAGGCCACACAAAAGAGAAGGCAAATGTTGTCAGCCATGAGCATTCTGAGCAGCAAGGATGGGAAAAGCACTTCAGAAACACCAATACTGGTGGGAAAAGGTGCTGCTGATGGAGGGTAAATTCAGATTTTTTATCACAACACTGATGGCAAAGGTATCACACAGACACTCAGCTAAAGCAGGACAGCCACGCTCCCTCCTGAGCCCAGGGATACTCATGGATCCACAGAGTAGGGCTCAAGGCACTTCTGATTTTATCATGAGAGAAAAACTGACAGTGATGCGCTGGAGAAAAGCTCTGGAGAAGAGCCCACATGCACTTTAATGCTGTTTGGGATCCCAAATTCTGGATTTTGGAGCAGTTCCACCCTCCCTGCTCAGGACAAGGCTCCCCCTGAGCCCAGGGATTCATTCAGCACCGCGTCCATGCACAACAACACCAGGAAAGCACTAGGAAATGAGAGAAACTGGGGAAAATTCTCACTTTCACCCTCAATTCTCACAGTAGGAGTAGATAAAAGCTCAAACTCTATGGGAGCAGATCCAAATTTCCTCTATTTTCACTAAAATCCCCTTCTCCGTGGGAATCCCAGATTGCTGATAACAACCTCACCCCTGTGGCAGGGCTGGCAGATTTTGGATAAATTCCCATCCACTTCCTGCTCCTCCCTTCCCACACAACACCAGGGATTCACCAGGGCCAAACCTCACCCCTCTCCCT